TGATCTTTTCATAACAGGTATGGTCTTATCATATACACAAAACCTTTGGGCAATTCAGATCAGCCAGGTGGCTTTTATGACACATACGTAACGCAGCACACCCTTGTATATACAATGTATACCAGACACTGACTGAGTCATCACAAAGTTTATATTTTTACTTCTTTATCACACTCAAATGCCCTTATTGTTGGTGGGACTTCTTCCTTTCTAGGAATTTTCTCTTTCCCCAAATCCTCACCAAAACCACCTCTATTATGGTTTACTGTCCACGCAGTTACCTTCAGTCCAGACCCAGGCGTTGATCAGTAGCACGTCCATCCCATCCTCCTCCATCCAAATTTTGATGTATAGCCTACATTATGTATATGAAGTGAAAATCAGGGGAGTAAGAGCAAGTTTAAGAGAAGATTTTTAGGCGATTTTACAGCTCCTCTCCACTGTTTGTTTTGAATGAGTTGAAAGAGTTTAAGATGAGTAGTTTTGATGGTACTACTTCCCGTGTAACTAAGATTCACAGAAAGCTTTAAAAGTTTGAATCGTTTCATTTGAATGAGGAAAATTTCCCAGAAAATCTGGAAAGTATTAAAGTTATGAATGAGAAAAGTAATAGCCCACAATTACTAATATTGAGTGAATATTTAGTAGTTTGAATGAAGTTTCTACCAGTACCTGAAATGGGATGGTAACACCCTAGTACTGCACTACAGAGTCCTTGTAACTGTGCTGCCACCTCTGGTGAGTATGGCCGTACCCGCCATTGAGGTCACTGGTATTTTTTCCAAGGGGTATAAAATAAAAGTTGTGAAAAGAACTACTTTGATGCGTACCCCAAAACCCTCCTAGCAAGTTCAACTCAGTGTTTCCACGCCAAAAGAATCTCTATCACCATATGATACAAAGAACCCTGAACGCACCATTCTGATGTGATGATGAATGAAGCGAATAATGTGAGATTTTACTGTGTGTATCTGATTTCTTTATGGGCACATGCAGTGAACTGCCTGGACCGCCATGTGCACACCTGTCCTGAGAGGGTCGCCCTGATCTGGGAGAGAGATGAACCAGGGTCAGAGGTCAAGGTCACCTACAGGTCAGCAGATTGGCTCTAGTGTGTGTGTGTGTGTGTGTGTGTGTGTGTGTTCCTCCTTCTTTTTGTATTGTAGCGTGGTTCATTGATATCTCCTTACAGGCAGCTACTGGAGATGACATGTCGCCTGGGCAACCTGTTGAAGCGGCATGGTGTGAAGAGGGGCGACTGTGTCACCATCTACATGCCTTCCTGCCCCCTGGCAGTGGCGTCCATGTTGGCTTGTGCCCGTATTGGTGCAGCACACAACGTGGTGTTTGCAGGGTTCAGTGCTGAGGCTCTCGCAGAGCGAATAAGAGACGGTGAGACAGTGTGACTGCTGATGAGGGACAAAATGAGTCTGGAAACAGATTTCCACTATATGTTTTAAAGCTGCACTGATTAATATCTTTATTAACAATGGGTCGAAACATTATCTGGAATGTATTTTCAGCTCATTGTTTTAGTTTTAGATCCCACAACTTTACTGTTTTGGTTTAGTCTTTCTATCAATGTTGTAGCCAACTCCAAAACCTGTATTTGGTAAAAGTGTTGATGAAATTGTTGAAACCAAAACAGTAAATCATCACAAAAGGAAAACATTAAGCTGAAAGACGTGTTAAAGCTCCATAGAGCTTAGAGGAGTTGGTGATGATTATCTGTGGGTGTATCACTATAAGCTACGCCTTTTACATTAATTTTATCCATTGTTAATACAGAAATATTGACCAGAGAAGCTTTAAGTAATAGAAGAGACCCGAGCGATTGTGTAAATCTTGTATATTTCTTTAGCATTGCATGCTTTTTAATATATCATTATTGTCTCTTGGGCCCTTTATGAGACTCAGTGTGTGTTACAATCCAAACAGGTTGCATTATCATCTGGGTTTTGTCAAAGATCCTATTTTTTATTACAATATTTGTAATTTTAAGTTTGAAATGTAATTCAAATGCAAAAAGTGGCAGTAACAGTTTGATATCCACATACCGACCGACCACAGCAGTCTGATTTGATATCCGTCACGTTTTCAGCCCAGTCCAGCACCGTCATCACAGTGAACCAGGGCGTCAGAGGGGGTAAGCTCACCGAGCTGAAGAAGACGGTGGATACAGCTGTTCAGAGCTGCCCGACAGTACAGCAGGTGTTTGTTGCTATGAGAACAGAGAATCCCGTCGCCATGACAGCCAAGGATGTTGCCATGGAGGAGGTGAGAGAGCAGAAAGAAAACCAGACATTGATTAAGATATTAATGCCAACAGCGGAGGACCACAAGTGCACTGTGTCACCTTTTCTGGACAAATAAAGATTTAAAAAATGCAGAATAAACAGTTAATTTTGCATCAATTGACTAATTAATTGACAAATATTTGAGACTGAAAGCTCATTTTAGATTTTGGAAACAGCAGTTGACAGGACAGCTTCACCACCAGATCCATAGTAGCTGTTCTGGAGCTTTCTGTTGTATCACACAATCTTCCTCAAAGAAAAATGACACAACAACTGGGCAAACTGTTCTGCTGAGGAAGATCCTGTGATATGATTGAAAGCTCCAGATTAGCTACTGAATGGACTTTGTGGTTATGTAAACTTATTATTCTTACATGCCTTTAAAAATTTTAATCTCTCTTCTTTCATCATGATAAGTCATACGGTATACGGTGTGACACACCGTCTACTGTTTGTCATTCAACACAAGATTATGTTTCAACAAGAGAAAGCAATTAGGTTTGGTTTGGTTGTGGTTTCATTACTATGCTGCGGTTACTACATGTGATTTCTGACAAATAATGTGCAGGAGATGCAGAAGGAGGATGTGGTGTGTGAGCCGGCTGCCATGGAAAGTGAGGACGTGTTGTTCCTGCTTTATACGTCAGGCAGCACAGGGAAACCTAAAGGGCTCGTCCACACTCAGGCAGGATACCTGCTCTATGCTGCACTCACGCATCGGGTAAACAACCTGTGTTGTCTTGTTGATTATATTTTTTATTCTCTTTTGATCCAATCCAATCCCATCAACCTTCTTCTCCTCTCATCACCAGTATGTCTTCAGCTACCATGATGGAGATGTGTTCGGCTGTGTGGCAGATATTGGCTGGATAACAGGACACAGTTACAGTGTCTATGGGCCCCTGGCCAACGGGGGAACCACAGTCCTGTTTGAGAGCACTCCTATTTACCCTGACCCAGGTATGAATGCCAGAAAATGTGTCAGACTGGCTGACAAATTCATAATAAATACATACAAAAGATCTAATAGCATTAAGGCATTTTATTAGATCTAATGTTTTGTTGACATGTTAATATAATATTTTATGTGAAGGACGGGAATACTCTGCATGCTTGTGTCTCTATCTATCTATAGATCTGTTTATAGTTGAACTTGAACTTGGCCATACTTTCCACACTAAAATTAGGACTTCTGTATACAGACGAGTCACAGTCGTCATTTGTGTCAGCAGACATGTCTTGTTGTTGTCAAGGAAAAACTGTTCATAAACTGAGAAGGGTTTTCTGATTTTATTCTACAAGCTTCAGTCGAATCTCCAAATTCAGATTCTGAATTTTTTGTAACGTCTCAGTCAAAGGCCAGGAATCTCTTTGGAGCATGCTAACTTAGACATGTTTTGTTGTTCACAGGAAGGTACTGGGAGACGGTTCAGAGACTTAAGATAAACCAGTTTTATGGGGCTCCCACAGCGATCCGCCTGCTGCTCAAGTACGGAAACCAGTGGGTGCACAAATACGACCGCTCCACCCTCAAAACTCTTGGCTCTGGTATGCCAATCACTAACAAGTGCTCACCATTAACCATCATACATTGTCGTGTCTTAATTTTGCAACATGTGCACCAACAGATGGTTGACAGATGTACAGTAAGACTGTGTAGTGGCTCTGTTTGTTAAGCAAACAGTTTTTGATGGGTTAGCATGCATTGACTTTATTTATCCAAGTCAGCCTGTCACATAAACCAGCTAGTCCACATGAGAGACTCGGTTGACAGTGTACTTCAGAGTTGTGTACTTCAGAGCTTTACCATATGAATTCCTTTCCTCGAAGCGCACACACATGTTACATACCAAGCCTGGTTGGTATGTCAACATGCCTCAGTGATCCACAGTGTCCAAGGTAAAGTCCGGCATGCCAGGAGATCAAGGCATGCACACACACACACACCTGTTCCCCTGAAACATGAAGCGTATGGGTAAAACAAAGCTTAACATAAAAAATGTAAATCCCTATCTTATCCAACAGATTTCTTCTCTTACAGAAACACTTCTTTTTTTGTTGAGTGCTGGTTTGCCTGCTTCATCAATTCACTATTATTTTTGCAAAACATGTCAAAAATATGACTAAAAGAAGTAAACAAAAACAATATATGACTATATGATTTAAGCTGTCCTTGTGTGTGTGCAGTGGGTGAGCCTATCAACACAGAAGCGTGGGAGTGGTACCACACAGTGGTTGGTGACGGACGCTGCCCTGTGGTGGACACCTGGTGGCAAACAGGTAACTGTGAATACACTGAAATGTGGAATTTATTAAACCAAACGAGCTGCTTTGAGAGGCTGTACTTAGGAACAGTGGTGCTTTGTGCTAAATGCTAATGTCAGCATGCTAACACAACAGGTCCAACCGGGGTCCTTGTGTGGATTGTAGGGGTCCCCAGGAAAAGGAGGAATAGAATATTTCAACTTTTATCATGTTTTGGAAGTTGGTGGTCTGATGTTCATCCTTAACATGCTCACAGTGTAACGTTTACCATGTTCACCATCTTAGTTAAGTGCTATTGTCACTAAACAGAAAGTACAGGGCTGATGGGAATGTCATTAGTTTTGACTTGTAGTTTTGTATTTGTCCTAAATCAAAGTATCAAGTTAAAATGTAGAACTGATACATACATACATACATACATACATGCTATACTTGAAAAATCAGAGGATCATCACCTAGAGCCACAACAATAGCACAGCTAAAAACTAATTATCACCAAAAAGGTTACCACACCAATTGAATTAACTTTTCATTTCTATTAAAAAAAATAAAATAAGAAAAATGTCGGTCTACAAAAGACAAATTCCAGTTGTTTAAAACAGAACAAAAAGTTGTTGGCTTGCTAATATTCAAACCACAGTCTTGGTTTAACAGTTTGTTAACAGCAGTACCGAAACAATTTCTTGATTAATTAATTAATCCATATAAAATTAATCAATTGTAATTAAGTTGCATCATTTGTCAGGTAAGCATCCCAGTCATAAGCTGTTTTTATTTACCCAGGTACTCTCCTGAGAAGCTGTAACCAGCAAATAATGATATTCTTACATAACTACACGAACGACTGAAATGATTAATTGATTATTAAAAATTAGTGATTTATTTATTTATTCAGCCAGCTAATCATTCAGTGAATAATCTTTTCAACACTAAATGCATATAGTAAAACGTGCTAATGGTTGTTTTGGCTTAAGGGATGCTGTGTTTGCTTAAGGCTTTCTTTCTTGTCTACTAAATCGACTGTTTTGTGCTCACACTGAACTCGGTTAAGTCTCTTGGTCTTATCGTAGCATTTCATTCACATGTTAGCATGATCACAATCCCTCCACAAATGGCTGTTGAGTTCACGAACTCTTCCTCGAATAGCCACGTCTGCAGGCACTAAATCAGTCGGTCTTAAAGGGGGAGAGCGGTATGCTCCGTCCTTCCAACAGTAACATTGTTACATAACATCATGGCTGTGGACGTGTGTGTGTATTCATACACAGTATTACAGTATGTGGGTGTGTACATGTACAGCATCACAAACACACACACACACACACACATGCATAAAGCGAGGGGATGTTGCTATCCCCTCTAGACTCAACCAAACCAGATGTTTTCCTCGTAGAGTAGAACATCTAATGCACTGGAAACTAGAGGCATTAACTAAATCTCTAAATATTAAAGAATAATGACAGTAAACATGAACACCATCACGCTGTAATTTCATCCCTGCTTGCCTGTTTTGTTTGTCGAAACACTCGATAAATTTTAACCGCAGAATGCAAGTGTTGTGTAGCTGCCAAAAAGAGCCACGTAACAAAATGGATCGCGGCCATCTGGAAACTACTCTACCTTCCCCCTTCAGGGGAGTGCATTTTGTAGGCTGACCACCTCTCAAACCCACAAAAAAAATTACATTGGGTCTTCAATTTGTCTCCATATTGAGCTCAGAGAAACTATTTTAGTAAATTTTTAGTCATTGTGACACTTTATACCCCCCTCAATGATTATGATACAAGATAACAGAGTCAAATAGAAACTATATACTCTGTACTTTACTGAAATTATACCACAATGCATTGCAGTGACAGTATAATTACAGTAATTGCACTGACGAGCTTGCAGCAAAACTGTCCTTCACCCATAGATAATTCTCTGATGTCACAGTAAAGTAACCACTTTTCCTCTGCTAAAGTAGCTTATGATGGGACTTAATGACAACATGTTTAAAATCAGCTGATTTCGCTAATAAAATCAATTTTGAGGATGAACGCGGGACCCAACTGACACTATGGGTTTCATCCTCAGTCCCTTCAAATTAGATTAAGTAATGACCAAATGGAGCAAAGCTGTGTTAATTACCATACAAATGGCAAAAATCTATAATTAATCGACGATAATTAAACATCAGAGCATCATGAGCTTGAGAATTACGGACACAGATATGACCCAAATACCCTACTTCTGTAAAAAGGATTATATTATTAGGTTATTTTTCCAGGACCAGTGTTTCCAATTAGGACTAAGTGGCATTATTCATAAAATGCCATTTGGCTGATCTGGGAGCAAGTAGCCTGTTTAGAGAGAAAATTAGATTTTGATCCGCTGTTGGCATACGGCCTTCCTGTTGGGTCATACAGGACTAGAGAGGTGAGAGGATGCAGGAGGACAGGAGGTGGAAAAGCTTTGTTGCATCTAAAAGCAAGATGGAAGGAAAGAAATCTGAATATATTCTAGTATTTACATGTTCAAATTCATATGTTTAAGCATTGATTTAAAGTAATAGTTTGATATTTTGGGAAATATTTGCTGACTTGCTAAGAGTTAAAGAAGATTTACACCACCCTGTCTGCAGCCAGTTCGCTTAGCTTAGCATAACATAGCAAAAATGGGGGAAACAGCTAGCCTGGCTCTAATGGTAACACAGTTTGAGCTAAGAGCTAGGCTAGCAGTTTCCCCCTGTTTCCAG